AGTACACACTGTATTACATAGGACAGGAGTAACGGGGTCGCTGTAAAACTGACAGTAAAAAAAGTGTAAGAAATTCTTACGGAAATCAGCTTGTGGCAGTGGTAGAATTGAGCCAGAACGAGAGCGCCATCTGTCGTGGAGTTTGGGTTACCGGTTGCTTCCATCTCGTTCGCACACCTCTCATAACATGTTTCGCTCACCTGCAGTGGTCGTATAACCATGGAGATACACCCAGGCTGATTATTTTTAATACCCGTAGAAAAGAACACTTAAAGTGAAAATACAAGTTTAATATTTCATAGTTATCTTATAATTTTCCTTGAAATGAACATGATTTATCATTGACGTCATGAGAAAATTTGTAGCGTTAGAATAACAGTGTTTAAGTACATCTTGATTTCATACAGAATATATTATTATATTTTATACGATTCATAAATCATTCACAATGTTTTTTTCTGCACCTGTTTAGTATGTACAACAAATTTATCTCTGACGAGATAGAGTTTCTTAAAAGCTAGTAGCAAGAGTACAAAATTTATAACGTAGGTAGCCACGCACACGATGCAGAAATCTTCCAATATGAAAAACAGTATGCAGGCCAGGTAAATTGACATAAAGTTACTGGAAATTGCCATGTAGACCTGCAGGTTGCTGACAGACAGCTTTCTTGATTCTCCTGTAAAAATAATAAAATAAAATACAATATAAACAATAAATTATACATTATTGATTAAAGCCCCATAGTATAGCAACAATACACAGAAAATACTATATAAAAATAATAGTAATTCACCTAAAAAGAATGTGCGTACGTGCGTGCGTGTACAAATTTTCAAAAAATATTTTGAAAGTAGTAAGTCCTTAGTCAATATAGGTTGGTAAATCACCTATGATCATGAACATGGTGTAGAAAATCACTCCAAATACACTGTTTGGTTGGTTGAGCCAGTGATCCTTCCCTGTAGCATATTCTAGTACTCCAAACCCTCTTCCATACCTGAAGTAACAATTGTAATTATTTTAAAATACTGTACATTAAGAACACTTTGGGTGTAATGAACTGCAATATATGGTGTACAAGTAATTCCATGAACACATATCCACACACAATAACTATACAATAGTTAACATTTAGGAGCCATATGCTCCCTGCCACGCTTACCACTACCTTGTGTGGCAACAGTGCTTGCATTAGTTATATGAATTTGATGTACACATCTAGATACACAATTCAGCAAATCATATATTATTCGTTTACACGTTTTTTTTAATATTGGGATGATGTTAAGTATTCGTACTACCTAAAGAATAGGTAAAGATGGGAAACATATCTCAAACAACACCAGCTATGTATAGCAGCACACAGCCGCAGTGTAGTACTAGTAGTAGTTAGGTGGTAGGTGTTGCAAGGTATATGGTAGCCGTAATCACCGATGAACAGGAGAAGTCCAAGTTTAATAAATATTTTGTATATATATTTTATAGAACCCTGGGAGCAAAGGTGACACGACTGAAAGGGGTTGAAAGGGGCTACACAGGTCGGGTAGAGTCTAGAGAGTATAAAACACCATACTCATTTTAGTACCCTAGCTCTAGTACTATAGCCCACGTACAGTTGCCGCTGCGGCAACTGTACGCGGGCTATAGTACTACTTAGTGATGTCACGATCATCGATTATACTCGATCATCGGTTGAACAGTGGCTCGAACCAAGCGCTTGGTTATCAAAATCCATAATCGATTTCATTTTTTTTTTAAACTTGAACAAGAAAACTTGAAAAAGTGATGAGAATCAGAGATACC